AAAATCATTGTTTAATGGATTTGAGTTTCAGTTAGAAAACTGATTCAGGGGTACAGCCTGCTGGAGGTTTCTGATATTGCAAAGGAGAAAATTGTTAAGGAAGTTTTATCCCTTAATATCTTTTATTGTAAACATTTCTTTTCATGTTTTTTATAACCATAGTATAATGGAAACATCATGAACTTTAGAGGACTCAAAACCTTCCTTTGCCTTGTGATCTTTCTTGCTATGTGACCTTGGGCAAGCTACTCAAGCTTCAGGTTTTCATTCAGTATAATGGGGTAACATCATAATTTCCACTCAGCAGAACTCCTTAGAAAATTAAAACAGGTTCATCCATGTCCCTACAAAGGACATGAACTCATCGTTTTTGATGGCTGTGTGATATTCCATGGTGTATATGTACCACATTTTCCCTATCCAGTCTATCATCGTTGGGCATTTGGGTTGGTTCCAGGTCTTTGCTATTGTAAACAGTGCTGCAATGAACATTCGTGTGCACGTGTCCTCGTAGTAGAATGATTTATAATCCTTTGGATATATACCCAGTAATGGGATTGCTGGGTCAAATGGGATTTCTATTTTTAGGTCCTTGAGGAATTGCCACACTGTCTTCCACAATGGTTGAATTAATTTACATTCCCACCAACAGTGTAAAAGTGTTCCTATTTCTCCACACAAGAACAGAAAATCAAACACCGTATATTCTCACTCATAGGTGGGTGTTGAACAATGAGAACACATGGACACAGGGAGGGGAGCACTACACACTGGGGTCTGTTGGGGGGAAATGGGGGAGGGGCGGGGAGGTGGAGAGGTGGGAAGAGATAGCATGGGGAGAAATGACAGATACAGGTGAGGGGACGGAAGGCAGCAAACCACACTGCCAAGTGTGTACCTATGCAACAATCTTGCATGTTCATCACATGTACCCCAAAACCTAAAATGCAATAAAAAATAATAATAATAATAATAATAAAGAAAAAGAAAATTAAAACATTTAAATTCCCAGCACAACAACACTGGACTCATTGCAGAACCTATGTTCTTAAATACACATATACATCCACTGTCTCTCACACACACACCCCGACAAACAGAAAATTACTTTCTGACCATCCTTCTACACAAGTTGACCAAACTGAATTTTGCTTCAGAGCAACATTTACCAGGATATGCAGAGACTCCATGTTAGTGCTTCTCTTCATGCTGACTTCTGATAGCTGTATACTTTAGTGAATTAGAAAAGACTAGGAGCTGAAAGAGTCACATAATTTTTGCAGGTATTATAACTTATATGAAATTAAAAATTAACTTATTTGGCGAAAGCTGGGTGTAGTAGCATGTGCCTATAATCCCAGTTACTGGGAAGACTGAGGCATGAAGATCTCTTGAGCCCAGGATTTTGAGGCCGCAGTGAGCTATGATTGTGTGCCACTATACTCCAGCCTGAGTAACAGAGAGAGACCCCTGTTTCCTACAAGAAAGAAAGAAAGAAAGAAAGAGAGAGAGAGAGAGAGAAAGAAAGAAAAAAAAGAAAGAGAAAGAAAAGAAAGGAAGAAAGAAAGGAAGAAAGGAAGGAAGGAAGAAAGAAAAAGAAAGGAAAAGAAAAAAAAAACCTTAATGATGAAGTAAAGCATCCCAGCTGAGTAACTTTCTATAAGCAAAACTGTAAATTTTTATTCTTTTTTATGGTGAAAAGATATACATATATTTGGAATTAGCCAGCTGGACTCTGTTTAGATGATCCCAATTTTGTTGGCAACATCCAAAGCATCGTAATCAGGAGCCAGTCGCACATATGCCTTCTTCTCTCCATCAGGGCGAATCAGGGTGTTGACCTTGGCCACGTCAATGTCACAGAGCTTCTTCACAGCCTGTTGGATCTGGTGCTTGTTGGCTTTAACATCCACAATGAACACAAGTGTGTTGTTGTCTTCTGTCTTCTTCATGGCAGACTCAGTGGTCGGCGGAAACTTGATGATAGCATGGTGGTCCAGTCTGTTTCTCCTGGGGCGCTCTTCCGAGGATATTTGGGCTGCCTCCCGAGTCGCAGTGTCTCGGGCCGCCGGAAGGTGGGTGACGTGCGAATCTTCTTTTTTTTTTTTTTTTTTTTTTTGTGGCCGTGGACACCTTTCAACACTGCCTTCTTGGCCTTTAAAGCCTTCGCTTTGGCTTCGGCTTTGAGGGGGCAGGAGCTTCCTTCTTCGCTTTCGGCGCCATCTTGTGAAAAGGGCGTAAAACTGTAAGTTTTTAAAATAAAATCTATACTCAATGCCCAGAGTCAATGCCTTGTTGTGTAGGGAGAGAACACTTGTAAACTGCTTCCTGCCTAAGGTAGGCAATGGGAAATAAGAGCACATTAATGCCAAAATTCAAACTCTGGAGTCTCTGGATCTCAACCGTGCTAAGGAACTCACATCTTGAGGCCCTCAAATCACCCTGGTGATGTGTGGGGCATCCGTGGTGGTCTCATGGATCCCTGGGAACAGGTTCATTTGTGTTTTCAGCTGTGGTCTCCTGTATCACAGAGATGTGGTGCAGTGACCTATAGCGGGGCCTGGGAATCTGCATTAAAACAAGCACTCTAGGAGATTCTGATAGGAGTGAACGATGAAAGGCATCCAAGGGTTGCACAATATAGGAAAAATCATGCATTGGGAGATCCAGGAGGAATTAGGTTTTCTGCTGCAGCTTGCTGCACTTATTGAAATGGAGTCAAGTAGTACATCTATACTCAGTGGGAACTCTGACTGAATATGAGTTATAATTGCCAGGGGACACCCTGATTCAAGGTAAGTGTGCCATTAAGGTTCTGGTGTTGCAAACTCAGTGATTCATCAGGCCGTTGCTGTAGTAAAAGACCATTATGAGGGTGAACTAATCTGCCTCCTTACCTGCTGCCCACAAGAATCTAATCAGATTGTTTAAGCTAGTGCAGGGTCCAGCACAGAATGTTGCACAAAGAAGGTATTCAGTATTGTATTGGAGTCCAGGCAGCCCTTCCAAGCACTGGATGTCCATCTGCTGTAGCTTTTCTCCAGGTAACTCAGGAGTAGGAGTTTTGGAAAGTTTGAGTCCTAATGTGCCCCGCCAAAAATGAGCGCCATTTTCAGAACATAGCTCTGGCTTTCTACTATTTACTTACGGTGGCTTGTGAAAAATCACATTCTATTGACATTCTTTTTTTTTTTTTTTTTTTTTTTGTTACGGAGTTTCACTCTTGTTACCCGGGCTGGAGTGCAATGGTGCGATCTCGGCTCACTGCAACCTCCGCCTCCTGGGTTCAGGCAATTCTCCTGCCTCAGCCTCCTGAGTAGCCGGGATTACAGATACGCACCACCATGCCCAGCTAATTTTTTGTATTTTTAGTAGAGACGGGGTTTCACCATGTTGACCAGGATGGTCTCGATCTCTTGACCTCGTGATCCACCCGCCTCGGCCTCCCAAAGTGCTGGGATTACAGGTTTGAGCCACCGCGCCTGGCCTGACATTCTTGAAATAGAGCTACACTAGCACTTAGGCCAAGTTCAGATGAAGAGCAAAACAATTAGGATTCAATGTATTGGATAATTATATGGGGATTAAGCAGGTTCTGTCATTAATGGTCATTAATGACCAGGTTTTAAAGAATGTGTTAGATTTCTCTCTCTCTCTCTCTTTCTCTCTCTGTCTCTCTCTTTAAGCTAGGGAAATACTGTTTAGTGTTCTTAAAGTAATGTGGACTGACTTACCCAGGTTACATGATACTTCCCTCTTAATCAATGAATATGAATTGCTTCACTTTTAATTGCTCTAAAATCTGTAGGAGATGGATGATAGTGCCTTGACTTCCAGGGTCACAATAACAGAATTACTGACTTTTATTTTCTTTCTCAAGTCAGGAATTTGTGAGAGTGATATCATTCAAATAAACTTTGATCTGGACATCCCAGGAACCCATTTGGAAAAATGTTGCCCTGAAAAATTAGGAATGAATGAATTTTTTTTGGCGGGGGGGGGGAATGGAGTATTGCTCTGTCGCCAGGCTGGAGTGCAGTGGTGCCATCTCAGCTCACTGCAACCTCCACCTCCCAGGTTCAAGCAATTCTCCTGCCTCAGCCTCCCAAGTAGCTGAGACTACAGGCACACACCACCATGCCCAGCTAATTTTGTATTTTTAGTAGAGATGGGGTTTCACCATGTTGGCCAGGATGGAATCGATCTCTTGACCTCGTGATCTGCCTGCCTTGGCCTCCCAAAGTGCTGAGATTACAGGCGTGAGCCACTGCGCCTGGCCTTGATAAATTTTATCATATTCTCTTATTTACTATGGATTTTAAACAACATGCATTTTCTGTCTACTTTAAAACAAATTATTGTTAAAGAGAAAGTAAAATTACAGAGATGTTATTTATATTTACTTTTAAGAGAAAGTAGTTATAGTCCTGCAATCACAGGAGTGGACATTTTCTGTCTAGCTTAGCCTGGGAATTAGGTGTTATGCCATATTCTTCCTGTGCCACCTAGTGAGAGACTCAAATGGTTTTATGTGAGTTTTGCATAGATTATTTGTCATTAATTTTTTTAACTTTTCATTTGTAGCAAATCAAGCAGGTTAATAACTGGTACATATCAAATTAGAGGTTGAAACCAAAACTGAAACAGAGAAAACAAAGTACAAACTATGCCTTCTGTTACAAACAGCATTATGGCAGGGTGTGCTCAAGCTTCCCACTCACACCAATAATGATGCCAGTGGAGAGGGCATGGAGAAAATCTAGGCCCTAACCAGTGTTGGTAAATCATGATGGTATGGCATGATGACACATCTGATTTATTCAGCCAAGAACATCCTAAAGATAGTATTTCTAGATTTAAATAGAATAGGATGCCTTTCATATGCCGTTTCCCCTCTTTACACTTTCCTTTCTCCACGTGATAAAATTTTGCTCATCTTTCAAGAGTCTTCAGGCCTTTGATAGCTGCATGCTTTAATGAATTAGAGCAGATCATATATCAGCTTTGTGCAGTGGCAATAGCATAGCCAATGAGGTTTATCCAAGGCGTGATTATCGCTAATTGAAAATTTTCCCAATACCCTGCCATGACGACTTGCAATATAGTCAGCACTGGCAATTTTTGACAGTCTCTGAAGAAAGAGAGAAAGAGAGAAAGAAAGAAGGAAGGAAGGAAAGAAAGGAAGAAGAAGAAGGAAGAAGGAAGAAAGGAGGGAGGGAGGGAGGGAGAGAGGGAGGGAGGAAGGGAAGGAAGGAAGGAAGGAAGGAAGGAAGGAAGGGAGATCATATATCATTTCCTCTGTGAAACCTGTCTTTTTTCACACTCTGCCTGCATGTAATACATAGATAAACAGACACAGACACATATACTGCAGCAGGTCTAACTGGTCCTTGCTTGTTTTCCAGAATATTTTGTGCTCATGCTTCTGTGACTACATTAACTCATATTATGGTTTTCACAGATTTAGCTGCTTGAGGACAAGGGTCATGTGTTCATCTCTGAATTAGACACCACCCTGAATGAGCGAAAGCACAGAAGTCTTTATAGAGTCATCACTGCTGCCCATTTCTCTTCCTCACTTGGTTGTAGAAGCCACTTATATCCAATTTCCAGTGACTGGGCCGTGGACAGATGGAGAGTTACAGTGTGTGTGTAAAAGGGAAAGGCAAGGCCTGGAGGGAGAGAAGGGAGTGACAAACCAGTAGGAACAGCGTTCCGAGGGATCTCTGATGAGCTTCTCCAGGCGGTACCCTCTCCCTCCACCCTTAGCCCTCATCTTCCCTCATTCTGAGAGACAAACTATCTCACAGTTGGGGTGTTGACTTGGTCCCACTTGTGCATGCTGCCTCTGGACGGCAGTGATGGTCACAGAGGACTCAAGTGTTAATAATCGTGGTTTAGGTGGCAGCAAAGAAAAAAACTACATGATTGTCCCTAAACCAATGCACATTTGTATATGAAGCCTGTCACTTAGGTCCAATTCCAAATACCTGGCCTTTCTGGGCATTCTCTTTTACTGGCTTAAAGTAGGTATGAGGGATTTTCCCATGACCATGTTCAAAAAAAAGAAAAACAAAAAACAATCACCCCTCCTAGGCCCCCCTGGAAGAAGCACCATCAACTGACTACCCCAGCCTCAAAGAGCTACTTCATCTTCAACCTCCTACAGCATTTACTGGTGTGGTCTAGTCCTATTAGATAGCATCTTGATTTATTGTTCCATTGACTTTGGGTCTCCTGACTGGACTGTAAGCCCCCTGAGAACCTTATCTAATTCTTCCCTCCAGAGCTCCTAGGACATCAGAATAGAGTGATGGTCTTAAAATAGTGCATATTCTTACTTTGTTGGTTAACTGAACAACAAATACTCCATTTATTTTTTATATTATTTCACATGTAATTATATTATTATATCTTTTTTCTTTTCCATCTATTCTCACATCTTCATGTCTATGGCCTCTTCTTTCCTATACTCCATTCCTCTTCACGGGGCATTATCTTCCAAAGAGTCCTAATGACCCAGCTCTACCACAGCCACCGTGGAAAGTGAAGTCCAGTGCAGAACAACGTAAACAGACGAATCCTACCCTGTGTGTAGACCCACAGTCAGAGGACACAGAGAGAGAGGAAGCAATACACAAAAATTCCATTGAGCTGTTAGGGTCGTAAAGTGTATTATAATCATACTTCAAACAATGTCAGCCCAGAACTCACAGAAGTTCTATGATTAGCACCATCTCTTTCACTTCCTAATTGCAAAGACACATTCCTTCTCTATTTGTGCTTTGGCCTGGTAAGGATGGGAAAGCAACTTAAACTCATTTGAGGTTATAATTGCTGTTTTTCTATGTTTACAAATTTTATTTTGTCAAGTAGTCAGTTGTTCAGGCTGAGAAAGTATAGGACAAATTTTTCTTTCAGTGTGAACACGTGAAAAACAGGTGAGGTCTCCAGGGTAATGGAGGAGGCCTCAGGGGATGAATAATGTGTTCTAAGGTCCACAACTAGGCGATTGTTCAGGGCAAATTGCAGAGTGAGTGAACTGCAGGCAAGGGAAGATTTCAAAGAGCCCAGTCCCCACTTCAGAAAATGGCATCTCTGTATTTTCAGTGAGATCAAGCCAAAAACCTTGCACTTTGGGTTTCTCTCTCCTGGCACATCCAATGTCTAATCTAATGGCACATCTTGCTGGTTTGGGGGAAAATTCTTCCAAAATATATCTAATATCTCCACTTTCCACCACTCTGGTGCCACTCAGATAATCTATGCCAGCCCCCGGTCCCATTAGAACTTCTGCAGTGGCCTCTGCCCTCGTCTCTCTGCTCCTACTCTTGCTGCCACCCCCTTCCACCTCCACACAGCAGCCAAAATGACCTGGGAAAAGCACAAGTCGTGTATCATTAAGGTAATAGTTGCTACTGTCACAAGGAAACCCCCAAATTTGAATAATATACATTTTGTCTTCCATTTTTTTCTTGCTCAGGGAGTAGTCTCATGTGATGGCTCCTTGTCAATGCCAGGCGGGGAGAAGGAGAGCCCAGTCATCTTAATACATGGAGTCAACACCCGGCTGGTAGAAGAGGGGAGAGAATATGAAGCAGGCACATCTGCTCCTTCAATAACTCTGCCCAAAAGTCACCCATAAATCACTTCTGCTCTCCCTCTAATGGCCAGAATTCATCTATGGCCTCTCTAGATGCAAAGAAGTGCGCCGGGCGCGGTGGCTCAAGCCTGTAATCCCAGCACTTTGGGAGGCCGAGGCGGGTGGATCACGAGGTCGAGAGATCGAGACCATCCTGGTCAACATGGTGAAACCCCGTCTCTACTAAAAGTGCAAAAAATTAGCTGGGCATGGTGGCACGTGCCTGTAATCCCAGCTACTCAGGAGGCTGAGGCAGGAGAATTGCCTGAGCCCAGGAGGCGGAGGTTGCGGTGAGCCGAGATCGCGCCATTGCACTCCAGCCTGGGTAACAAGGGCGAAACTCCGTCTCAAAAAAAAAAAAAAAAAAAAAAAAATAGATGCAAAGAAGTGCCCTGCTGGGCAGTTGCTCCCCTGCAACTGCAGGGCACTCCTTCAATGTCGCAACTCCACCATTCTACAACTCTACAGCTCCAAAATTCCACAACTCTGCAACTCTTTAGTGACAACTGCCATCTGTTCAAATGTAAGGTGGTCCTTATTGCTTGCCTGCTTACAACTGTCCGAGAGCTTTCCATCTAACTAAATTAAAAAATCAAAATCCCAGCACTTTGGAGGTTGAGGCAGGAGGATTGCTTGAGCCCAGGAGTTTGAGACCAGCCTGGCAACACAGGGAGACCACCCCCACCACAAAAGTCAGCCAGGTGTGATGGCATGCGTTTGTAGTCCCAGCTACTTGGGAGGTTGAAGTGGAAGGACTGCTTGAGCCCAGGAGGTCAGGGCTGCAGTGAGCTGTGATTGCCTCACTGCATTCCAGCCTGGGTGATAGAGTGGAACCCTGTCAAAAAAGAAAGAAAGAAAAAGAAAGGAAGAGAGAAAGGGAAGGGAAAGGAAGGGAAGGAAAAAAGAAAAGAGATCCAAAATTCAAAGCCTCCAGATCCTCATGCCACCCCTCCGGTCTCATTGTGCTCCAGCCTCTGTGACTCTCTCTGATCCCTGCTTATCCCCACCTCAGCAATTACTGTTTTCTCTGCCTTGAGTATTCTTTCACCAGATCCCTTTTTATCAGGTGAGTAAATAGAAAATGGGACCCAGGAATTTGCACTTTAACAGGCACCCAGTGACCCTGCTGCTGACGGTCGGTGGTCTATACTTTGAGGGGCACTGGCACAGTGGTTAAGAACATGGACTACAGGATCAGAGACACTTGGGTTCAAATACTATGAACCCAAAGACTTGCTAAATCTATAACTTTGTGTACCTTATTCATCCTCTCTAACGCTCGATTTCCTTACGCATGAAATAGAGCTAACAACAGAAATCACTTCACATGGTTGCTGTAAGTAAAATGAGGTCAAACTAAGATATAGCACCAGGTCTGACATATAGTAAGTAGTTTGAAGACATGCCTACAGATGCATCATGCAGCTTTAGAAAAAGTAGGGTGGAACTGGACAAAAGAAGATTTGAGCAAGTGAATCTTAAATGAGAAAGTGATGTGACGCCTGTGCTTCCTGGGGCTAAGGGTTGCCACCACAGAGTCTTAAGGAGTGGAGTGGTATGTCAGATGGATCATTTGAGATGCCCGTGATACAGTCGCTCTGAGCAATGATGAAAGAAAGTTAGGTCTGGAGTAGGGGGCCCTACCAGGAGCTAACCTTCTTAGGTTTCAATATGCTAGATGAAAGAAGATCCAGTTGTATGAATTGAACAGAGAGATGAGTTGGAGGGAGAAGAAAGCAGCAAGAAGCAGCAGCAGAAGGTTGACAATGTGAAAGCAGGCCAAGGGAAAAGATTGAAGGGAAATGTGTGTTGTCTCAGTATGGACAGGACCTACTGCAATGGAAGAGCACTGATTCCTAGATTATACCCAAGAATGCCACTAGACACCAGAAAGTGGTAAAATAGGATTCCCAAAGTAAATGAGACCATAGAAGCCAGAGCTACTGGCAACACTTTGAGGAAGTCATTGTAATTACAGCTGAATGGTGAACTGGTGGCATGCAGTCAAAGGTTGCAAAGAGGAAGACACTAGAAATTTTCCTCTGAATTTTCCTGAAGTTGCCAGTAATATCCTTGTTGAGGGCAGCAGCTTCTAGGGATAGAAGAAGTACAAGGGGAAGGAGAACAAAGCTGATTAAAGAGTCAAAGTCCTAGATGTTGTTAAGAAATAGATGCGTTTGGGCCGGGCGCGGTGGCTCAAGCCTGTAATCCCAGCACTTTGGGAGGCTGAGGCGGGTGGATCACAAAGTCGAGAGATCGAGACCAACCTGGTCAACATGGTGAAACCCCGTCTCTACTAAAAATACAAAAAAATTAGCTGGGCATGGTGGCGCGTGCCTGTAATCCCAGCTACTCAGGAGGCTGAGGCAGGAGAATTGCCTGAACCCAGGAGGCGGAGGTTGCGGTGAGCCGAGATCGCGCCATTGCACTCCAGCCTGGGTAACAAGAGCGAAACTCCGTCTCAAAAAAAAAAAAAAAAAAAAAAAAAAAGAAATAGA